AAAGTGCATAAGAATCTGTGTATGGTAATTATTGAATCCCATTACCATGGTTACACAATGGTTCTTTCCTTTTTCAGTTGAATCTCGAATTCTTCACCGCTTGAAGCAGTACGAGCCATCAAAACCACCCCCGTCTATAGTACCTTTGAAATCACCAGTACCTGCGATATCTGACGACTTACTGAATAACAGTAATAGAATGGTAGCCACATTGGAAAATGATATCAGGTCATTAGTTGAATACGCAAGGTAATGTACATGTACCTACTGTAAAATACTTTATTTTAGCTGGAATTAATTTCGCTTAAAAGATGTTTAAGTTGTTTAGTATGAAATTTATTTTCACTTTCAAGTTGAATATAAAATTTAGGGAAAAAAAATTAAATTCGCTGGATTTTATTATTTATTTTTATTCATTGAAAATAACAAGAATAAATTCTGAGCCAAAATAAAACTATTTCACAGTATTCTGTTGGGCCTGAAGCATTGATATGGCTTAAATTAGAAAAATAAAATGTGGGAATTCTCAAACAAAAGTTGTATCAAGTAAATCAATTTCAGATTGAGCTGAGCACATAGTTCAGTTTATAATTCCCAAACTAGTTCAGTGCTATATTTATTTTCAGCCAATTTAGGAAGCAACAGGGGAAAATGAGGTAAAATTGATCTGTGATTTAGACATTTTAAAAAATTCAAAAAAACATGCTATTATTACAACCTATATATCATCTGAAAGCTTAGATATAGGTGAATACGGTAGTGCATCTAAGCTTTCAGAAGTTATATAGGTTGTTATAATAGCATGCTTAATAATGTCTAAATCACAGATCAATTTTTAACTCATTTCCTCCCCCCCTTGTTGCTTGCTTAATGAGAATAATTTAGTAAAGTTGTAGGTACCGGTAATTCTTGTTTCAAAAGTATATTAGCCAAGATCTTCCTTAAATTCATTGATGCTGGTTGAGAAAGATGATCTGAGGGTTATATCATTTCATATATACCTGTCAACAAGCCTATATTCTAATAAAAACCTTATGTTGTTCATTATTGTAGGATATTCAGTGTGAGAGAAGCCAATCACATCGCAATAGATTGTAATTATATTGAGGTGTTGCCAGATTTATATTACAATAAACCAGTTGAAGTAAGTCTTAAAATGTTTTCATATTTCTGTGTAAACCTTCGATTTTTGGACCTAACATTATATCCAATATATAAAGAGTTAATTATTGTCTACTTCCTGCATGATATTGAATCAAGTTTGCTTGTTGACTGATTGAATGACTATGTGACTGCACATATATGCAATGCATTGTGGGAGATATCTAAATTTTACACTACTGAGCACGTTACTGCACATATATGCAATGCATTGTGGGAGATATCTAAATTTTACACTACTGAGCATGTTACTGCACATATATGCAATGCATTATGGGAGATAAATTCCATTTGTATATAATGGGAACTATGATCACACTGTATGTTTTTTCACAATATTAAGATTCGTTTTATAAATATGTGACTTTTTCATCCTATGTCACTAATAAAAATTTTGAGATATGAAAAAAAAAAATCTCATCACCATCCGGCCATGCTGCAGTTCACAAGTTTATAACTTACTTGTGTTGCAATTGTTGATTATTACACAGTATTGATTATAATGACGTACAAAAATAAATTTGTTAAATTGTTATGAAATGCAAGTAAAATTCAACTTAGTTACGCCTTAAGCAAACGATTTTGGTCACATTTAAATGCTTAATGCCATAAGATTACATTCATTTGTGTTCTGTATGTGTCGTTACTTAGTTTATATTTGGCCAAAAACTTCCACACTTGACTGAAATCATTTCATATTTTTAATACATATTACATCTACAGATTTATATATGAATTCAGGTAAGGTTTTAATAGTTTCGCTATGTTTTAGTTAAATTTACAGGTACCGTGTAAGAGCGCTTACAAGTTGAGTCACAAGTGTTCGGGACCGGCTTTCTTGGTTCTCAGGGTGAGTGTCTGCTGGAATAATCAAATGATATGATTTTGCAAAGGATTGTGGGATATAAAATTGAACTGTAGAGGGCAATTTTTT